AACAGAGAACTGCATGATTTAGGGAAGTTCATTTTGGTTGGCGGTTGTTTACCTCCCACCCCCGTCAATCACGCATTTGATTGAACAGCAACATCTGGACGGGGCGCTCACACTTACCAAATTCGGTCGCGCTGTAAGCATCGTGCAGTCGCCATGGAGCCCCATTGGCAGTTATCAAAATATTGCCTTGGCAGCCAATGGGAGCTGTAGTTAGGAATTAGGAAGCAGCAGCACTAGCATCGCGAGGCGATGCCAGGAGAGAATCTGGCATTGCGCTACGATGCCAGCACTGAACCTACCCACCCTGCTCACCAGCAGCCTGTACCTGCCTCACCTTTCGTCGTGTGACACGATGCTCTCCCCTCCCTACCAAGGAACCCCCAGGCATCTTCTTTGGGGCTCTCTTGATTTTGACGAGAGCCCAAATAGCTCTGCGGAAAACGTGTCTCGCTCACTCACGTTTTCTCCACCCTAGCGTGCAGCCGGTCAGGCTGCTCAACCGCGTCCTCACCTTACCGAGTAGCACCATTTCCACCCAGCCAGCTCTCGCCATGGCTGTCACTGGGGGAGGCTGTATTGACAGTGACGCGGCAGCTCCTGACGAGCCGTCACAATCTTCGACTGCCTCTCTAGCTCCCTGTAGCGCGCTAGAGATTTTACTAATCTCACTGCCACCTTCACGAAACAAAATAGGCTTTCGAACGAGATTTCAAATGTCTCAGCACCCCACCAGAAGTCTACCTCACCCACGCCAGCAGCGGCTGTCTCCATTACAACAGCCACGCCAACTGAGGTGATCGACCCTCATGCGCCTGCTTTACCCGTGCTTCCACCGACTTTCACGCTACCCGTGCCCGTCTGGGTGTGTGCGGACGACATCTCAGATTCTCCGCCAGAGGACCCTGCTGGGAATGCGGGTGTTGCCCCATGGTTAACACATCGGGGCGCATCTGTGGACTCTCCCTCCACTGCCATGCCCGAGACCAGCGCCACCCTTCACCATGCAGGACGTCAGTCTTCCACTGGTAAGTGTTTGACTAATTTGTTTGAGCAGCGCCATCTTCGTGCGATGACAGAGTTACACATGCCGTTTACCTAACCCTTTCTCGGCTATGCTGGTGCTCGCCATGCAGGACACGAGACTAGCGCAGCTGGTGCTCGCCGTGCAGGACACGAGACTAGCCTGGCCGGTGCTCTCCGTGCAGTACCCGAGACTAGCGCGGCTGGTGCTCGCCGTGCAGGCCCCGAGACTAGCGCGGCTGCTGCGTCAGGTACGTGGGGTTTGTTGGGCCTTTGTCTTTGCTTTTACCATTTGTGCTCTATTAATAACCTTCAGCGCATCTTGCAGGAACTCTTACATGTGCTAGAGGTATGCTAGTATGGCGGTATCCTTGTGGGTATGGCCCTTATATTAGCTTGTTTTGCTGAATTCGTAGATGTTGTATTTAGATTGGATGCGATAGTCTAAAGATGCGATAGGATCTTATTGTAGTTAGGAGGGTAGCATGTCCAATCTAAAGGGAAAATGCTTACTCTTTGTGATAAATCAGCGTAATTTTTTCGGTTAACCCTGATAGAAAGGCCAACTTTCGCAATCCAACGCTGATGAAGCATCTTCTTTTTGGGTTCAAGACTGATGAAAAGTTTTTTTTTTTTTTAGTACGACACTACACAATCAAGGTAGCTTAAAGCCAATCGTGGGCCCTGACCTGAATCCCTAACCCCATCTGGAATGTGCCCTCATGCCTGCCTGCACGGAGAAAGGATGATCACCTAGTAGTTGTCAAACATACATATATGTTTTTACCATGCCCTCAGATTTGAGGAAAAAATTCCTGATTTTGCTGATTTTCAGGGTGTTTTCTGTACCAGCCCTGAAAAATCAACGTTGGAATCTGAAAAAACGGGGCTAACGTTGTCAAAACATATATATATGTCTTACAGACAAGATAGGTGCGTACTCTCAGAGAGTACAACCCCTTAGCACAAAAGCACCTTGTATCTCTCATTCTAGTCATTCATTCTCACTTTAATATGGTATCATGCTAGGTTAGGTCCCCCCCGCCCACCTGCGCTTCCACCTTAGGCCTAGTCCGAGCAGCCCCGTTAGCCCCGTTGGCCCCGATTGCCCCGTTGGCCCCATTAGCGCCCCTCTCGCCCCGTGTGCCCCGCTAGCCCCGTGCGCCCCGCTAGCCCTAGGCGCCCCGCCGGCCCCTCACTCGCCGGCCCCCAGCGTCACCGGCCCCTGCTCAGCCGACCACAGCCTGCACCGGATCCGCGCAGTCCAATCGCCGTGCCGTCGTACAGCCGAGTCGCCGAGTAGCTGCGCCTCCTTGACGCTCTGCTGCCCCCGACCTACCGGCCTTGGCTTCCTTCTGAGCCGGCACATCTGCCGGGTGTCTACATCGCTCTCCATTGCTTTCCACCGCACTCCACCATACTCCACCGCTCTCCATCGCACTCCACCACACTCCACCGCTCTCTACCGCTCTCCATCGCACTCCACCGCTCTCCACCGCACTCCACCGCTCTCGGCTGCCTTCTTTCGCCTTTCCTCCTCTCCCTGTCAGCGGCAATCAGCTGCGGCAGCCGGGGTAATGGAGGACTCACGGCTCCGCCTGGATGCGGAGGGCCGGGCAATCGACTTCGAGGCATGGCTCGTCGACCTGCGCCGGCACCTTACAGGTCAGCGCCAGGACGACCACTCCCTGGCTGCTCATGTTGATGGCCTGCCTTTGGTAGTGACGTCCTAGAGGACCGGCAATACGAGCTTGCTTTCCTGTTCGAGGTCGCGCCTCATCTCTGCTCCATGCTGCTAGTCCCTGAGGGGGATCCAGACCCCTTCGACATCCCGACCCCTCGCACTTACGCTGAGGCGACCTCGGGATTCTGGGCGTCTCAGTGGATAGCTGCCATGGAGCACGAGATGGCATCTGGAGATCCACCGGTACCTACGTCGACGCAGTTCCCCCACCTGGGGTGAATGCAGTCGATGGCCGGTGGCTCTTCAAGGTGAAGCGACCTCCTGGAGAGCCGCCGATATTCAAGGCGCGCTACATTGCTGGAGGCTTCAGTCAGCGCGAGGGTGTTGACTTCTTTCAGACCTGCGCCCTGACTACGAGCTGCACTCTCTTGACTTCTCGACATTGTTTCTTCAGGGCAGTCTGCATGAGCAGGTCTACCTGCGTCGCCCGCCAGGCTTCACCGACACCTTCGCCCCGGGGACCTAGTGGCTCCTCCGGCACCCGGTTTACGGCCTGCGGCAGGCACCTTGCGAGTGGCACGACACACTTCATGCTGCATTAGCTGACATGCAGTTCTTCCCGTCGTCTGCAGACCCTTCGCTCTTCGTTCATGCTAACCAGACCCCGTTCTACATCCTTGTCTAAGTAGACGACCTCGTCTTTGCTACTGCAAACAGAGAGGCACTGGCCTCCGTGAAGGCTGAGCTGCTGAGGAGACACACCTACATTGACCTAGGAGAGCTGCGCCGTTACCTTGGCCAGCAGATTTCCCAGGATAGAGAAGCACGCACCATCACTCTCACACAGTCACACTTGGTGCACTAGGTCCTTCAAAGAATCGGTCTTCAGTTCTCCTCCGCATAGCCCACACCTCTGCCAGTAGATCACATGCTCTCGGCTCCAGTCCTTGAGGAGTTTGTAGAGCCTTGTGGTTCGTACGTAGAGCTTGTGGGTTGCCTTATGTACCTGATGACTTGCAATCGCCCAGATCTCGCATACCCTCTCAGCATCTTGGCTCGCTTTGTGGCCACAGGCAGACACCGACCACAGCACTGGTCGGCTGCTAAGAGGGTTTTGCATTATCTAGCACCTACATCGGGCATGGCGCTAGTGCTAGGAGGACACAGGCCAGTGGTCCTGACAGGGCACACAGACGCTTGGTGGGCAGACGACGCTGAGACGCGTAGGTCCTCCCAGGGCTAATGATTTAGCCTTGGCGCAGGCGCCATCTCGTGGAGGTCCACCCGCTCGTCGTCTGTTGCCCAGTCTTGCTGTGAGGCTGAGATCTATGCCGGTGCCATGGTGGCACAGGAGCTATGCTGGCTGACTTTCTAGCTCACAGACTTAAGTGAGCGGCCTAGCTCTGCCCCAGTCCTGTACGCTGACAACAGGGCCATGATCCTCCTGTGTCAGGATCCTCGACTTGAGGGCAGCGCGAAGCACATCCAGCTGCAGTACTTCCTCCTGCGCGAGCTACAGCAGCGCCGCCAGGCCCGCGTAGCACACTTGGCCTCAGGCGCCAACAAACTGATATCTTGACGAAGGCGCTTGCGCTTAAAGACCATCAGCAGCACTGTGTACAGCTTGGTCTAGTTCCTGTAGCTTCACACTTGCTAGGACCTTTATATAATCTTGATTAGCCTTGTGGCTTTTGTCCTAGTGGCTGGACTAGTAGTACCGCCCTGGGTTGCTCTTGTTCAGTTTGTACTCTTGCTGCCTGGTCTTCGGACCCTTGCCTCAGAGGTTGGAGTAGTAGTGCCACCATGCATTGTGTGTCTCTTGCTAGGCACTGCCCCTCATCTAGCCTAGGGGGTGTGTCAAAACATATATATATGTGCGTACTCTCAAAGAGCACAACCACTTAGCACAAAAGCACCTTGTATCTCATTCTAGTCATTCATTCTCACTTTAGCCTATATTCCTTGTACCCCATCTTTCTAGTCACTTGCTAATTCTGCGGAGGCTCTTGGTGTGCACGCTATCCCAGTCCTAACCACTGGGACAAGAAGGGATGTCCTCAGGAGAGTTAGGCTCCATATATCCACCTTCCCCAGGGAAAACCTCCCTAATACCCTCCCTAGAGAGAGAAGAGGTTCGACAAGGCTATCCTAGTGCCACGACAGTAGTATCAACAGCATGGAGCCTGCATGTTCTTGTTTCTTGTTTCTTGCCATAACCATATGTTCCCGATTCTAGGCCCATAGCAAACCTGGTTGGGTCACCTCGTTGCATGCAGCTCAAAGTTCAGAACGCATTTCCATTCCACAAAGAAGCCAATAACATTTTATTTGTGGTACACGGCACACGCTGCGCTCGAAATACACTCGTCGGTCAAACGTCCCTCCATCATGAGTGTGATTTGATCAATCTGTCAATTAATCAGCACTGCCATAGGCAGCCAGTCGGAGCTGTAGCACCGGCTGAAGCTCCTCCCACTACTGGTGGTCCCTCGGCTCGTATAGGTACTGCTGGCACTATTTCCAGCACTGCTGCCACTCTGGCTGTCACCCCCTTTGTGGCTGTAGCTCCCTTGGTTGCTGTACCCCCCTTTGTGGCTGTGGCCCCGCCTGTAACTGTAACCACAACAGTAGTCCGCATGTCGACTCTTCCCGCTACAGCCGATGCCCAAGGCACCTTTGCTCCCGCGGTGAAGGGTCTGCTGCTGCCAGTTCTGGGCCTCCTGCAAAATTTGCGCTCTTGGTCGCAGCCTGCCTGGCTCTTTGGTTGCTGCTGGTGCTGACAGATTGGGGGTTGGTAGTAACTGGTGGAGCTCGGGAAGGGAGAGCACTCTCTGCCGGATATGCAAACCACTAGAGCAGTCGCCTCCTGCACCCCCTGTGGCTCCTGTATAAACTGACCCAGAGGGGTATTTGGTCCCAGAATTGCGCTGGTGCTCCTTGCTGCTTCGTCTGCTCCGCGGTAGGGGCATGTCGTGTGTTGTTCGCGAAGGATAGTGAAAGGCTGCGTGAATAGGGCCGTTGCAATGTTCATTGTTCCGCTCCCTGGTCCTCGCACCATCACTGCCATCATCCTCCTCCTCCTCCTCCTCATCATCATCATCATCAGAATCATCAGCACGAGCATCATCATCCTCCCCATGACTGTCGCAACTTTTGACCCCATGCGCATGCACACATGCGGTCCCAACGCTTGAACCATCATCACCCTCTCCCGTTCTCTCCACCCAATCACACCCATGCGTCCTCCTCCCCATCCCACAATAGCAATCACACATCCCCTCCTCCCTTCCATCCCATAACTGTTCCCCTTCCCATGCCCCCCCATATCCCCACGCGCTGGTTTCAAGTTCATGCAGCCCCTCGCAATCGCACGAGCAAAATTGGCATCTCCAACGTGCTTCGGCTGCAGCACCAGCAGCACCAGCAACACCAGCAACACCAGCAGCAGACGCACCAGCAGTAGCACCAGTGGTACTGGTGCTGCTGCTGCTGCTGCTGCTGCTGCTTCTGGTAGAGTGGCTGTTTCTGGCCTCCATGCTGCCCCTGCTACACAGTATGCTGAAATTCTTGCCAGTTTGGCTGTTGCTTCTGCAGCTGCTGGTTCTGCAGGAACCAGCGGCTGTGTCTTGAAAACTTCTACACCGGTCAACAGCAGCAGTGGTGCAGCAGGAGGGAGGATCAACAACAGGATCAGGTGGACTTGGAAGCGGGGAGTGTAAAATGGGGCAGGGGTTAAGATGGCAGACAAGAAAGTGGCAGGGTGAGAGGAGAGATAAGAGGGGGGCCAGAGGAGGACGGTGCAGTGGAGAGCTGGAGGGTTGGAGAGAGGATGGTGATGGGGGTGGGACACAGGGGCAGTCGACCTGCAACGGACTGTGGTTCGAACAGTGCTGACTGTGGGGGTCGTGCATGTGTTGCTGTAGTTGCGGCTCCCTCTGCTGTGCGTACTGCTCCCCTTCCTGCTCATCCTGCTCTGGCTCCTGCACTTGCTGCATTGGCACTTGCGGCTCTTGGCAGCGCTGGCTGCTGCTGTGCTCTAGAGCCGAATCTGCAGAGCGGGGAGGCTGTAGCAGGTGGTTGCAAGAGTGCATGGGGCTCGTAAGCCTCATGGCGTGTACAGCTTCGCGTGCAGCTTTGTTCGAAGCTTCCCTTGAAGTCCTTGAAGCTTCTTTTGAGGCTTCCAGCTGAGAGTGATTGTGGTGCAGACAGCTTTGCTGCGAGTGGCATTGCTGCTGCAACTGCTGCAGCTGCCACTGGTGGTGCTGCTGCAGTGATTGCAGACCCGAGCGAGAGTGACTCCCATGCCCATTGCCCCTCCCATCATTCCCTTTTGCATGACCCCTTTCGCTGACGCCACTGCCGCCGCCACCCCCGCCACCACCACCACCACTACCACTGCTGCCGTTGCCACTGCTATTACCACTGCCACCACTAGTGCCACTACTGCTGTTACCACCTGTTCGTCCGCTGGTGTTACCACTGCCGCCACTCCCAGCATTGCTGCCACCACCACCAACCCCACTTCTCCCCCCTCCACCACCACCACCACCACCACCACCACCACCACCACCACCACCACCACCCACCACCACCACCACCACCGCTGCCACCACCACCACCACCACCGCTGCCACCACTGCCGCCGCCACCACCACCACCGCTGCCACCACTGCCGCCGCCACCACCGCTGCCACCACTGCCGCCGCCGCCGCCGCTGCCGCTGTTGCCGCCGCCGCTGCTGTTCCCAGTACCAGCGGCAGCAGCAATAGCAGCAGGGGCCCCCCTGTGTCTGCCTGGCCTTCCCCCTCCTCCCTGCTGCTGCAGCGCGTGCTGTGGCGGCTCCTGGTGCTCGCTCTGCTTCGCGTGCGTAGGGGGAAACGATTGCGAGTTAAAGGGGGGGAGGGGGGGAGGGGAGAGAACGCACACCAGAGCACACATTGAAGTCCAAGGCTACTGCAGCGCGTGCTGTGGAGGCTCCTGGTGCTCGCTCTCCTTGGTGCACGTGGGGGGATAAGATTGCGGCTTTAAGGTGGGGAACACACATTGGCATTTGGCTCCAGGGCTGCTGCAGCGCGTGCTGCGGAGGCTCCTGGTGCTCACTCTGCTCCGCGGACGTGGGGGGATAAGATTGGGATTTGGAAGCGGGGTAAAATTTGAGGCGCCTTGATTAATAGGAGTGCCACAACATGCTCAGAAAAAGACAGATTTGGTTCCAATGCTGCTGCATTGCATGCAGTGGGGCCTCCTCGTGCTCGCTCTGCTTGGTGCAAGCCGGGGGAGGTTAAGGTTGAAACGCCGAGGGGGCCACAGACAATTGCTCACAGAGCAAACACCAGAGCACACATCAGAGCACACACCAGAGCACACACCAGAGCACACGCCAGAGCACACACCAGAGCACACACCAGAGCACACACCAGAGCACACACCAGAGCACACACCAGAGCACACACCAGAGCACACGCCAGAGCACACACCAGAGCACACACCAGAGCACACGCCAGAGCACACACCAGAGCACACACAAGAGCACATACCAGAGCACACGCCAGAGCACACGCCAGAGCACACACCAGAGCACACACCAGAGCACACACCATAGCACACACCAGAGCACACGCCAGAGCACACGCCAGAGCGCACACCAGAGCACACACCAGAGCACACACCAGAGCACACGCCAGAGCACACGTTTGGCTCCAAGGCTGCAGCACAGCAAAGCGCACTCTCTCGCACATCACGGCACTCACGCGCCACAGGAAAAAGGGAGTCACATCGCATCGGCTCCAAAGAATTATGGCAATGTGATTGAGGAACACTGCTGCTGCTGCTGCTGCTGCTGGCACTGACTTCGACTCACTGGCGTGTGTAATGAGTCCGTGTGTAATGAGTCGATTTTTGAGTCGACTCATTACGCATGTGATTGAGGAACGCTGCTGCTGCTGCTGGCACTGACTTTGACTCACTGGCTGCATTGCGCCCCACACGAGTCCACCCCACATCACCACACTCCATCCCTCATCACCGCACTCACCCGCCTGCAGGAGTGCAACAGTTCAATTCCAGAGGAAGATGGCGATCAGGCTGAGTGAGGAAGGCTGCTGCTGCTGCCAGCACCGACTCAGAGGCGCCGCATGCATCCCTCTCATCTCATCTCACTCCCGAGTTGTACCCCCCTGCTCTGCAACAACAAGACTGCAAGACGCACCTCGCACAGCAACACACACCTCGCATCGGTTCCAGAGGAAGATGGCGATGTGGTTGAGGAAGGCCGCTGCTGTGGCGAACGCTAGGTAGGAGAAGCCTGCACGGCAGGAGAGCAAGGGGGGGGAGGAGAGGGGGGTAAGGATGGTGGGAGGGAGGAGGAGGGGGGGGGGGGTGTAAGGATGGCGAGAAGAGTAGGGAATTGGCAGGCAAGGAAAAGGGGGTTGGATGAAAGGCTAGGCTAGGAAAAGCGTCTGTGTTGCGAGGCTCTGCTCAGGTGGGAGGTATGGACAAGGCATGGCAGTAGTAAGGTAACTAAGGGCCTGGCAACTACATCCTCCCCATTCACTCTACAGCCTTGAACGCATGTACGAGCACAATACCGCGGGGAAAAGGGCGGAGAGCGGTGGCGGGGCGGGGGGGGGGGGGGGGGGGGGGGGAGAAGGACGGGAGGGAGGGGAGGATATGTTTTGAGGCGCCTTTAAACCAGGGGGTGGAGAAGGGGAACGCACCGTAGGTGAAGGTGAAGAAGTAGACGTGGAAGAGGAGGAAGAAGAGGAAGAAGAACTTGGGGAAGAAACGCCGGGAGAGGGGCGAGCGGCAGCTGCAAGGAGGAGACACAAGGGAGTGGGAAGAAGAGGGAAAGAGGGGAGTAGAGGTTAGGATGAGTGAGGCGCAGCACAGGAGAAGATTGGGTTCAAGCGGGGTGTATGGGCGCAAGTGGCAGATGCTTGTGCTCTCAAGACATGCACAAGCAATAATAGCACTCCCATGGGTTGGAGATATCAGGTATGAGGCATCAGGGGGCGCGCCCGTGGGAATAAAAAAAACCAACATTCTGGAAGGAAGGAAGAAAAGGCGAGAGGAAGGTGCTCAACAGACCAGTGAGGTAGTGCATGGGAAAAGGACAGGGGAGGGAGAAGGAGAAGGGCAGAGGGGAGGGCAGAAAGAGGAGCAGGCACGTTCAGAGCACAGGTGAGGGGTGAGGGATGAGGAGTGAGGAGTGATGAGTGAGAGGTGAGGGGTGAGGGGTGAGAGGTGAGGGGTGAGGGGTGAGAGGTGAGGGGTGAGGGGTGAGGGGCGAGCGAGATGCACCTGATGAGCGTGAAGATTTCACAGAGCCACACGAGCGTGAGCACCATGAAGGCCAGCAGCTGATCGTCGTAGAACTCAAAGAGGAAGAAGAGAATGCCGATCATGATCTGCCAGGGGGAGGGGGTCGAGGGGTTGGAAGAGGGGGGCGGGAGGGGGCAAGGGGGGAGAGGAGGAGGAGGAGGAGGAGGAGGAGGAGGAGGAGGAGGAGGAGGAGGAGGAGGAGGAGGAGGAGGAGGAGGAGGAGGAGGAGGAGGAGGAGGAGGAGGAGGAGGAGGAGGAGGAGGAGGAGGAGGAGGAGGAGGAGGAGGAGGGAGGAGGAGGAGGAGGAGGAGGAGGAGGGGGAGACAGAAGCGTGACGATGGATGCACAGGGAGGGGAATGGATAAAAGAGCAAATTGGCAGAGAAACAGCTGAAAGGAGAGCAGTTGATCGGCGTAGAACTCAAAGAGGAAGGAGAGAATGCTGATCATGATTTAAGGAGTGGAGGGGGGGAGGGGGGGGGGATATGGGCACAAATCGGCGAAGGTGAATGCAACAGATGGCGGGGACATATGAAGTAGAATGCATGCGAGGTGAAAATGACGTTTTGAGGCGTCGCAAGACAAAACTATCCATCAACCCACGGCATGCAAAGTGAAGAGTAGATGCATGCGCGGTAGAAAACGAAGGCAGAAAACGAAGACAAGGCGGGCCATCACAAGTGGGCGGGGTGTTGTCAACAGGAAACGAAGAAACAGAGGTGAGCGGCTCACAGGAATGAAAACGAGGGACTCGAGGATGTGCATGGCGATGAGCCGAAAGGTGGGCAGGCGATGGCGCGCGTGATGGTGCAGGGCGACTGGGGAAGACCGGGAGGGTTGGAGGGAAGGGAATAATGTGTGATGTGTGCAGATGTTAATATATTAAATGGTGGTTCAAAACAAGTCGAGTTGAACACACATGTACTACAACAAGCGATCAAGCAGCGAAGTTGGTGGCTGCTTGCAAATGCAACAGAAGCATCACCACGACCACCATCATGAGCTTACTGGTGAATTTGAGCATGCGGCTCTGGGTCTCCCTGAGAGTGAAGGACACAGCGAGGAGGGTCATGAAGAAGATGAAGACCGACGTGAACACCACCCCGATCTTGAACGAGATCACGTCTGCCAGGAGGTGAGGAGGGGTGTGGGGGGAAGAGGAAAGGGAAGTGAAGGGGAGGGAGAGCAGAAGGACACAGCAAGCAGGGTCATGCGGAAGATGCAGACCGACGTGAACACCACTTCGATCTTGAACGAGATCACGTCTGCCAGGAGAAAGGGGAAGGGGTGGGGGGGGGGGTGAGGGGGAGGGAAGCACGGACGGGGGAGAACAGCAGGCAGCAGACAGCGAGGGAGGCAGAGAGGAGCAGATCAGCGAGGAGGGTCGTGAAGGAGATGAACACTGATGTGAACACCACCCCGATCTTGAACGAGATCACGTCTGCGAGGGGGAGATGTGGGGGGTGGGGGGTTCAGGGGAGGGGCAGAGAAACGACGGGGGAAGAGGGCGGAACAGCAGGCAGCGGACAGTGAGGAGAAGACAGGCAAGGCAAGGAGGGTCATGAAGAAGGAGGGCAGCGTAACACTGATACCACTCCGATCTTGAACGGGATCACCACTGTGGTGGAGGATGACGTGGGATGACGTGGGATGACGTGAGATGACATGGGATGACGTGGGATGACGTGGGATGACGTGGGATGAAGCAGGGTAAAGGGGGGAAAAGCAGGCAGCAGAGGGATCTCTTCAACTGATCTATTTTGAGCAACCCCTTCATTCTGACACAGACGGTATCTCATCCCACACCGCCCTCCACCGCCCTCCACCGCCCTCCACCGCCCTCCATTTCTCCTCCTTTCTCCTCCTCCTCCTCCTCGCCACCCTTCCGCCCCTCTCGTCGCCCTCTCAACCATGCCCCACGAATGAGCAAGCCCTGCGCTGTACCTTCAAAGGAGGTGGCAGCAGCTCTGCCCCTCGTGGCAGCGAGGTTGAGGTCGTACAGCTCCTTGGTGTGCGCGTTGTACAGGAAGCCTGGGAGGGGTGGAGGAGGGCGAGAGAGGCAAGGGTTCAGGCGCTTGAGAGGAATGGGTTGAGTTGAGTTGAGACGCCGTGCGGCATGCTGGGAGTCCCTAGACTTCCCTAGTGTGCGCGTTGTACAGGAAGCCGAGGAGGGGAGGGGAGGGGAGGGGAGGGGAGGGGAGGGGAGGGGAAGGGAGGGTAACAGGAGGGGGGAGAAAGACACATGGCTGTGTGAGTGTGAGGCGGCCAAGTCATGGGTAGATCGAGGTGAGTCCATGGGGAGATAAGGGCGATCATGGGGAGATAAGGGCGATCATGGGGAGATAAGGGCGATCATGAACTTTGTCGGCCAGTGGGGTTTATGAGGTTTATGAGCATTTTGTCAGTCAGTGGCCCACCTTTGTCCGGTCGGTCCCACTAGATCCGCCCACGAGCCACTGTCCTCCTAAAAGCATCCTCTCACCTTTGCCTCGGGAGGACAGGATACGAGCGAATTCATGATTCTGCGGCGGCTTAAACACCGCCTTGCATGCATGCAGGGCCCCATTCTCCATGCGCGCTCACCTTTGCCTCGAGAGGAGATGAGGGAGTTCATGAGGATGGTGTCGTACCCCACCACCAGATCCACCAGCACACTCTTCCACCTGGCGCAGGGCATGGGGTGGGGTGGGGTGGGGTGGGATGGGGTGGGATGGGGTGGGATGGGGTGGGGTGGGGTGGTGTACGGGGGTGGTGGAGTCATGGAACACAGGCATGGATGCTGTCGTACCCCACCACTAGATCCACCAGCATACTCTTCCACCTGGCGATGGTGCATGGCATGGCGTGGCATGGCATTTCCTGGGATGGCATGGGATGGCATGGTATGGGATGGAGGCAGTGATCTCCCCACCCCAGAACTAGTCGTCCTCTTTCTCCAGCCAGACCCAGGGTTCATTTCATTGCACTCTCCCCAAACCCACCACCCCCACCACCCCCACCACCCCACACCACCCCACACCACCCCACACCCCCTCCCCCACCCACCATGCGCGGAAGCAGCGGTTCTACGGGGGAATACTCTATTTCACAGAGCGCACCCCCACCACAGGACGTCACTCCCTGGCTGCACTCTACACACTTACTGCTCAACCCCCCTGAACTCACCACTCCCCCCCCTTGCTCCCTTTTCCACCGCACCCACCATGCGCCGAAGCAGCGGTTGTGTGCAGGAATGCTCTTGTTCACAGAGCGCACCCCCACCATCTCCTTGGCTGCCTCTGACATCGCCAGATACGCCTGGGGTGGTGGTGGAAAGCGTGTGGGTTTAGCGGACGAGGGGGATATGTGAAAGTGGGGAAAGGCAGGGAGCGGGAGAATAAGTGAGCGGGGCTCGAGATGCTGAGAGCATTGAAGCATCACGAGGGGCGAGGAGCGACAGGCGACTGCTGAGATGGCATGAGATGAGAGGGATGGAGAAAGGATGATAGAAAGAAAGGGATAGCCTGTCCCGGACAGACATTGCCAGACACTCACCTTTTCTTCTGCAGAGACTCACCTTCTCTTCTGTGTAGATGAACAGTGGTGCTTCAAAACGCGTACGCAGCGACTCAGGAAAAACTGCCATATAAAGGGGGCGGTTGGGAGTGGAAAGAGGGAGTGAGAGGGTAGACTCAAAATCAGGTGGATGGAAGGATGGAAAGGAGGGGATAAAAGGGAAGTGACAAAAACGCATGGCATCTGCGCAGTACTAACAGTGAGACACACTAGGATGGACGAAAGGGAAGGGGGGAAAAGAAGGGAGGGGAGAAGGGGAAGGGGGGAGCGAGGGAGGAGGACGGAGAGGAGAGGCGTAAAGAAGGGTGGGTGCAAGAGCAAGTGGGCACAGATTGTGTGGTACAGCATATCTGCATGCAGCATGCAACATGTGGCATATGCCTCGAAAGCGCCTCGAAAGCCATGATACGATACGCACATCTGCTGTTCGCCACACAGCTAAACACCCTCATCCCACCCCACCCCAGTCCACCCCACCCCAGTCCACCCCACCCCCACACCACACCACACACAGGGATCGCATCTCACGATGGGCAAGGCGCTCTGATCGGTTGCGTCCCGACGTGACCGTGGCAATGGGCGTGGATGCAGCCCCCCGCAACCCCTCCCTCTGCCACCCAAGAGACAGAAACGAGGTTGGGTTGAAAGGGTTTAGGAGGAGGATACATAAAAAAAGGGATAAGATAGGGGGTGAGAGAGTGACAAGGAAATCCACTTTATCAGCTTCACTGGCCTTCACTGGCCCTTCCCCAATATTCTCCCCCCCCCTCTCCCAACCTCAAACCGTCCAGCAGCCCCTCCGCCACTTCTTGTGTCAAAATTTCAGATTTGAGTCCTGTGTCTCAAAACCAAACCGCCCTGCGTGTGGAGTCTATTTTTGAGGCGCCTGGAAAATAGAGGCCTCAAAACCAAACTGCCCTGCAGCCCCTTCACCACTTCCTCTTTTTCTCTTACCGCTTCCCCATCGTCTGTTGTCTCTTCCTCTCCCTTCCAATTTCCAGCCCCTTCCCAGTGGTCCCTCTCGCCCTCATTTTGTGAACACAGCACATGCCTTGCCTTGCAGGCAGACAGAAAGCACCGCACAGCAAAGCACAGCACAACACAGCACATGCCTTGCCTTGCAGGCAGACAGAAAGCACCGCACAGCACAGCACAACACAGGCCAGCACAGCACAACACAGACCAGCGCATACCAGTTGCAGGCACAGTATTTGCAGAAATCGCCAGAGCAGGTGCACGTCCACGCGTAGCCGCCTCTGAGAGGCGCGCAGCAGCCCCTCGTTCAGTGCATACCCCACCCGCGCCATCCCCGCCCCTGCCACCCCCCTGATCCCCCCCCCGCTGTTGCTGCCCCCCCGCTTCCTCCTGCTGCTCCTGCTGCTCCTGCTGCTGCTGCGCCAGATCCCCCTCCCCCAGGCTCCCCTCCCCCAGAGCCGCCTACACCTGCTCCCCCGGCCCCTGTTCCCCTTTGGTCAACCCCCCCTTCACCCGCGAACCCCGCTGCTCCTCCTCCTCCGCTCTCTCCGCTTTCACACGCCTCTGCATCGCCACAAGAAGTGGGGGATGATGCCAATTTTCCGGGGCGCAAATGCCCCGTGGGGGGGAGTACTGTTACAGTGGAGCCATGCTCAGGAGCAGAGGAATCATGCACTAGCAGCAGCTGCGCCTGAGAGCTGAGAAGCCCCTTCCAACCACCCACACCGCCGCCGCCGCCGCTGCTGCTGCTGCTGCTGCTGCGGCTGCTGCTGCTGCACGCTTTGGTTTCGCCCTCCAAATCCCCAGTTTCCCCTACTCCCTCTATCCTTTCCTCCCCTTCCCGCACGCCACACTGCCCTTCCTTCTCCGTCTCCTTGCACCTCCCTGCTCCACCTCCCCCCACTATTGCTGCTGTTCCTCCCCCTCCCCCTCCGTCCGCGTGTCCTCCCCCCTCAACCCATCCATCCCTTCCGCCAGCGCCCCCTTCCCGCCCGCCCTTCCGCCAGCCACCACCCCCAACCCCTATCCCCTCGCGCTGCGTGGCGGGGGTGGACAGCTGCAGGAACGGGGCTTGGCGGAGCAAGCCCAGGCCAGTCCCGGATATCTGCGTGGATGGGGGAACGCGCGCGGATGGGGGAACCCGCGGATGGGGGAGTGTGGAAAGCGACGGGAAGGCGCACCAGTGGGCGGGGGAAAGAGCGGAGTACGCAAGCGGGAAGACACAAAAGTGATCAGCGCGCGGGCATCTCTAGAGCGCGCGGAAGCCAAGGGGAGCGCGGGAGAGCGGAACGCCAGA